TAAGGTTCTCTGAGCCTCAGTATCCTCATCTATAAAATGAGATAATCCTGAAGATGTCTTCCAGATTTCTATCCTAATGATTCTCCCAGTGCTAGGTATATACTCCTAATGAGATCACAGATAGAAAAGTGCATAGATGCTAAAATATTCATTGTGATGCAAATTGTAACAAAAGAATGGGAAACAAAGTAGATGCCTATCAGTTGTGTAATTGGTAAACAAATTGTAGTTATGAATGTAATGGAATATTTTCCTTGGGTCTACACTAGCTTTCCCAGTGTCTCTGCCTCTGCTGCTAGAGGCTATGTCCCATTCTGGGTTCTAGGACCAGAGCTCTCCCAGACATATTGGCTTTCAACCCCTGTGCCCTTGTAATACTCTAGCTTCTAGCCAGCATGAGTCAAATGGTCCTTGCTGCTCCTTGTCTACTCTATGCATCTCTAGCAGCAGGAGCAGAGATCTTAGCAACAGAACTCCTAGTACCATCTTGGGCCACTACATCATTCCTTCTCCCAGGAGTTGGAAATACAAGGAAGCAAAAGAAAAGCAAAAAATTAAGAGGATGTCACAGCATCAATAGCATCTTTTTAGCCTGTCTTGTGACTTTTGCCCTGCTGCAAACAAGAGCTCACCAGAACCTAAATAAAGTGAGAGGGTGAAGAGAAGGGAACCAAACCATAGAATTATCAGAGACTTTTTGGCAAATCTCTTTCTCAGGGAATCATCTCCCTAGGGAAAGTCATGACACTGTCTATAGGTGAGGCAGCATCTAAATAACTAGGTACTTAAAAGATCTGTACAGTGGAAATGAGAGGAAAGGCATTAGGGGAAGGGGAAGACCAAGAAAGGTTTCTTCCTGAAGGTGGGATTTCAGCTGAATCTTAAAGGAAGCCAGGAGGAGGAAGAGGGGAAGGAACATTTCAGATATGGCAGAAAGTTGGTGAAAAGGCATGGAGTTGGGAGATGGAGTATCCTGTTCAAGAAAAAGCAAGATCTGGGAGGGAAGTGGAAGGACAGCAAGAAATGGGGTTGGATAAGAACGTCTCCAAATAGGTGTTTCTATTAGTTTCCTTTTTTTAAAGTGCAATACTAAATACTAAATCCATAGATTTATCCTCATCTTGGCAGTTCACTTTGCCCCTGAATTTCTCATGCTGGAAGTACATTTCCACTCTTCCTCTGATTGACTGGTTCCCTCAAACCTCCATTTTAAGGAAAAATGTCTAAGCCAACCATGTCATTCCTTTCTAGGATTCACTCTTGACTCTCCAGATGTTACCAACATTCAACCATGTAGCTCTCTCCCCTACCTCTGTTTTTCAACTCCCTTTTATGAGCCTTGAGGCAGCTAGGTAGCATATTAGGTAGAACCCTGGGCCTGGAGTCAGGAAGACCTAAAGTCAAATCCAGCCTCAAACACTTACTGGCTGTGTGACTGGGTAAGTCACTTAACCTTTGTTTGCCTCAATTTCCTCAATTGTAAAATGGGGATAATAAATAGCACCTACCTCCCGGGCATTGTTGTGAGGATCAAATAAGAGAATATTTGTAAAGTGCTTAGCACAGTGTCAGGCACAGAGTAGGTGCTTAGAAAATATTTATTCCCTTCCCTTCCTTATTTTATGCTCCCCTATTAGAATGTAAACTACTCCTGGGCAAGGACTGCCATTCTTTCTGCTTATATTTGCATTCCCAGTGCTTACACAGTGCGGGGCATATAGTAAGCACTTAATAAATGCTTCTTTTGTTATCGTTAAATCTTAGAACCTGTGAAATTCAGATGTGTCTACTATAGAGTAGGGACTCTGAGGTAGGGAGACAGGATAGTTAATATCTTAATATTTTAGCAATAATACCATTTCATACCCTAGAATCGAACTCAAATATGACCTATTAAAGGATTAATCAAAACTGCTTTTGCATATTGCAATTGAGGTAGATTTGCTGGAGAGGTGTTTGGAAGCTTATCACCATCTGGTGGCCAGATGAGATAAGGCAGCCACTGAGTAATTTACCAGACCTGAGCAGGTGGTTGTATAGAGTGCCACCTGATGGTCAGTTGATATATTGCACCCAGCTAATCGAAATCTTTTGCAGAATAATTAATACAGTGACACGCTTTCTTTCAGTAGACCTGAGGAAAAAAACCCTAGAGCCACACAACTCTAGGTTCGCTGAGGGACAAGGGCCACAGGAGCATTCCCAAGTCATGGCCTGAGAATTCTGTGATTTCTGGTCATGTATGATATCAAATTCAGATCTCTTGAGATTTTCCATCAGTCCCCTTTACTTTTCCAGTTTAATTCCGACAGTGTTCTAGACTTTCAATGTCATGTCCCATCCAAGACTCAAATAATTCCTCCCCAGAATGGTGTGTATATGAGGGGTTGATTAGAAGAATTACTCCAATCATATAGAGTGTGGATGTGCCTCTTAGTACTTTGTTAGGAAGAGAAAGTCATAATCTAATTAGTTTCCAGGGACTGGGGCTGCCCCAAAGATGATTCGGGGGGATGGACAATTATTGTAAGAAGAGCCATCTTTTGTGAGAGCTGTAAAACCAAGCCAGTAGACCTTCCCAGCCATTTGAGCCTCTTTCACTTGTTTCTCTGACTAGGATTCAGACCAGCAGTCAGCAGAGTACACCTGGATTCTCCACAGTGGTGAACATGTGTATGTAAGGGAGTGGGGATATGGGAGCAAGATAAATTGGAAGGCTGACGTATGTATAATTTCTCCTTACAAGAAACTGATAATGATCACCTAGGGACAGAACATGTGGGAGTTACATTCTTTCTTGCCAACATGTCCTAAAAAAGAAAAAAAAGAGGCCTAAGAAGGAGTTTCTCAGTCCAAGGGGAGGCAGCAGCTAGGGCAAGTTCTTACAGAAAGTCATGACAGAGGCAGACACGTGCCTACGTGATCTGAGAGGACAGTTCTTGACTGAGGGCTTTGTTCCTGACCACCATCCAATGGGTAAATGGAGGAGGTTTTGGTTTCATAGGCAGTGAGCTTGATCCCAGGATTAAGACTTCTAGATAGAGAAGGGAAATTTCCTATCAACTCTAGGAACTTGGGGGGAGAGGATTTATCTCCTGATTGATCCCAAACACCAGAGCTTGGATTCTAATATTCCACAGAGAAGGAGCCTTATAGCTATAGGAGCTCTGAGGGTTTAAACCACCTAATGGTGGAAAGAGACCTGGCCATTGCTATCTCTTGTTCTTTAAATGAGTTATTCAGATGGTGAAGTTCTAACAGAAATGGGATTGTTTGTTTAGCAGTCTCCAAATGTGTTCGTCTTCTGAGTAGAGTCTAAATTGCAAAGTGGTTGTACAAATCTGGCGGGGTATGAGATTATGTAGGACTCTGTAGGAAACTGTGACTCACCAGAATGTCAACTACAACTTCTGTGCTTTCTCCATTTATGGGCTTTTGGAAATCTAGGCAATTGTTGCCTTGAGTGCCTGTACAGGCAATGAGAACTCTGTTGAAGTCTCCTAGTATATGGCCTAACTTAGGGAGTCAGGGAAAGATATTAAGTCAGATACTATACATCTTGAGAAAGAGAACTTTCATTTAAGGAAGGAGCTCAGGCCAGCCATCTCTTCATTTCCCAGCTGACCGCACTCTTTCAGACTTCTCTATCATGCCCACAAGCTGGGTACCTTGCCTTTTCTTTTCCCCCTTTCAATTTACTTTTGTGTGTTGTCTTACCTGCATTGGATTATAAGTTCCTTGAGGGCAGGAACCCTCTTTTTCATATTTGTATCCCCAGCCCTTTGCACAGTGCCTGGCACATAGTAGGCACTTAATTAATGTTTATTGACTGACAAAAGGGAGAATGACCTGGAGGCTGATAGACATTAATTACTATGACCATCAGAATAATGGGACTGGGTGATTCCAGGGATCTTGATCCACGACTCAGGACTGAGAGTGGTCACACTACCTGGACCCCTGTAGAGTTCAGGCTTCCACAGAAATAGGCAGAATCTTCTTTCCCCAATGTAGGTGGTTTTCCAGGACTTCAATGAGGATTAGGGGAACATGAGGGGCTAGATAGAATATATATTTCTCTATACACCAATTCTACTCCCAGAGGAGAGCAAGAAGGCCACACAGCTTAGACCTTGGGTACCGAAAATGCCACAGGAACAGACTGGCCAGGGAGAGGGGAAATGCTTCCTGAAGATGTAAACTCCTCATTGGCCCTCTTCATCTCTCCATTCCTATTTCCCTCTTCTTCCAAAGAAAAAGAAGCTCCCTTAGGCTAGGAGGGGCTTCTTCAAAAAGAACTCAAGCATAGTGTCAGCAGCAGTCAGCATAGGAGCATTCTTCGGCCAGCAAGGGCTGAGAGGCATCTATGCTAGCAGCTGGTAGTGGGTTTGGGACTTGGGTGATCAAGTATATAACTCTCTCAGATCTACAATCCACTTCCCAACACCCCATCCCCCCAAACTCATTGGATATTTTGGAAATAAAGGAACATAGCTACCTACTGATGGGAAATCAGGGTAGATCTAGACATATTACCACCTGCCCTGCTGCTGCCCCTTTCTCTTTATTTGAGACAACCACCATCCAGGCCTGGCACCTGCCTGACCTTCAGAAATCATGTCCAACCTTCCACACATCCTCACCCCCTCTAATAAGGGAAAATAGAATTCTACTAGCTAAATTTCAACAAAAAACTCTTGCATAATTGGCAAATGGGATTGCAAAATGAGTATCGTGATTGAGTAAGCATGGCCAATGATGCCCTTCCTCCATTTGGATCTCTGTATCTTTGTGAGGTACCACCTACCGTTATGACAGTCATGAAAACTAAGTAGTTAAAAACTATACTGAAAACTAGACCTTTGAATCCCTGTTACAAGGCTGAGATTTTCAAAAATAATGAAGCATAGTCGACCACATTGCTCTCAACAAAAATACTATGATTTTGGAGGGCTTTTGTATGGTTAATATGTACAATATTATTTCATTTTTATCTCAATCCTTTTTAATTTCTATTTTTGTGTAAGTTGTATAACATAAATAATGTTATCATAGATTACATGTATATGATTTAGAGATAAATCAGCATGCACATATTGCAGGTATATGATCAAAAATGTTATGCCAATGGAATGTGTGATTAAAAAACTTTGGGGATAGGACAGGCCTCAACAATCAGTTCAAGGACATTAGCTCGGGGAAAAGGCTGTTTAAGGGAAAGATCATTAACTCTATGCAGAGATTCTGTCTTTCCCTCTCTTCTCTCAAGTCCAATATGGGTGGGGATAAGCAGATATGGAGAAATAGAAGTAAGGGGTGCTAGGCCAGCTCTGGTTTTGCCCTGTGGAGCTGAACACTGAATCAGAATCTGGGAGATGTCTCATATTGACTTGGTCTTCAAGCAGTCAGAAGACCAGCCATGCAGAATTCATCCTTAATTTGGATTATCTGAGGTCCCTGTGTCAAACCAGGCTATGTTGCTGGAACTGATTGATGACGTTTTTTGGTTGACAACAGCCCTCCTGACACCCCAGGGCTGGGGAAGGTTGCAAGTGTCTGTGATCTCTCTGGACTCCAGCTCTTCTTTTGTCCTGTCTCTGACTGCTCATCACTGGTGCTCTGTTCTTCTGTATCACTTCTCACGTCGTCTGGCATCTGAGAACCAGACAACAACAAAGTTGAGACAGACACACAGAGAGAAAGATGGATAGATAGATATAGGGAGGGGCAATCAGAGATAGGGAGTAAAATATAGGAACCAGAAGAAGTATAGGGGACAAGAAAAGATGAGGAGCAAGAGAAAGAAAGATGGATGGGGAAGGGATAGATATTGATTAAGTGCCTGCCATGTGCCAGGCACTATGCTAAGCACTTAACAAATATCTCATAAAGAAATGTACAAAGAGAGACAGGGAGAGGAAGAAATAAAAAAGAAACAGGAAGGTAGGAGAAAATGAGACAAGGAGGGATCAGGAAGATGAGAAAGAATAAACAGAGATAGGTAGAAAAGAGAAGGCAAGGAGAGGAGAGAGATTGGATGAGAAAGTCAGGAGAGGTAGAGGAAGGGAAAACTGGGAAGTGGGAGGGAAAGAGGAAAGGGCCTTGGATGAGACCTTCTTCCCTTCCCCCTACCCCCAATCCCCCAGCCAGTCTAGGACTGCTTAGTGCCCACTGACATTAGAATGCCAGGCCTGAGTCCTCGTTCCCCATTCCCCTCCCCTACCTACAGCCTCTTATAGTTGCATAGACCCTTCCTCCAGGGTTCCTATTCACTTGCATTTCAGCTGTTGAAATGGCCTGTGAGACAGGCCAGCAGGCTCATCAGGGGCCAAAGCTGAGGACAGCCTTTGTACTCACCTTGTCAGCAATAACAAGTCTGTAGAACATGTGAAGGATGAGTAATGACCAGAAGACATTGAGAGCCTGAAGAATCATTAGCAAGCCATTGCTGAAGTAGTATCCAAAGAAGGGTTTATGGTTTTCCATGGAACTGTAGTAGGTAGTGTAGAGGATTCTGTTGAAGATAGAGAGGGACTCAGGTGATGGTAGGGGCCAGGCCACCTGAAACATTGTTGGGGCCTGGCCTCTAAACACCTTGTGTCCCAGGTGAGACCTCCTCTTCCAGAAAGAGGGTAGGGCTTATTAAGAAGTTCTAAGTATGGGAGAACAGTATCCTGAAAAGATCCACAGGCCTTCTAGCCTGACCAGGAACCCATTTTCACTTCTCTTTTTAGGGGCAGCTTTCATTAGCAGAAAATCCCCAAAAATGAAGACTTGGAGTGCCAAGGTCCCCCAGGACTCACAATCACTGCCCGCAACCTTTCCCATCTTCTAGAATCAGGCTTACTTGTATGGGAGGAGGATTAGCCGGCTAATGAGAAATATCACAGTAAAGATGACAAAGATAATTGTACTTGAATTCTTCCACTGTGCATAACTGGTCATCTTGCCTGCCTTGGAGGGGAGGAGAGAAAGAATCTTACAATGACATAAGCTGAGATGAGAGGGACCCTTGAGGGCATCTTGTTCATCCCATATATTGACTTCTCAACTAGTGGCTGGTCATCAAGCCTCTACATGATGACATCCAGCAAAGGAGATCTCATTCCTTCCCAGAGGTAGCCTATTACACATTTGGACTGTTAGGAAGGTTTTCCTTAGAGTCAGCCCAAATCTGACTCCGCAACTTCACCACTCACCTGCACCCAGTTCCTACTTCTGCCCTCTGGGGCCAGACAGCAAATTTAAAGTGATAGCCCTGTAAATACTTGAAATCACCTCTCCCACCCCTGAATCTTCTCTGAGTCCAACACCCCCAACGCCATCAATTGATCCATGCTTGGCATGAGCTTCACACTCCTCTCACTATCTCGGACACCCTCCTCTGGAAGCTCTCCAGGTCATTGGTACCCAAGATGCCTCTCTGATGGCTCCTCCTTCTAGAAGTCTTTCCCAAATGTGTGTCCTAGAGCTGTATGGAGCACTCCAGATGTGGCCTGACTGAGACAGAGCCCAGGGGGACTGTTACCTTCCTTGTACTGGATGTTGAGCTTCTGAATGCAGCCCAAGATCTCACTAGATTATGTCACCCTGTAGACTCAATGAGCTTGTTATCCTTTGAAAGTTCCAGGGCTTTTTTCATAGAAAGTGTCATCTAATCACAACTCTTCACTGTGGGCTTGTAAGTTGATTTGATTTGATTTTTTAAATCTCAAGTATAGAACTTGATGTGACTTATGTCCCTCACTGGTTCAGATCTTTGGGAGTTGTAGTAGATTGACCACTGGATGTGGAGTTGGGAAGACAAGTTTGATTCCAGCCCCAGGCCCTTACTAGTTGTATGACCCAGGGCAGGTCACTTAACTTCTTCCAGCCTTGGTTTCCTTATCTGTAAAATGGAGGGGGGGGGTAATAATAGCACCTCCCTTACATTATTGTTGAGAGGATTAAATGAAATAATATATGTAAAGTTCTTTGCCAATCTCAAGGCACTACCTAAAAGCTATCACCACCACCATTACCATCACCCTGATTATAGCTTGTCTGTACATATCTGTTTGCTTATTTTCTCTCTCATTAGATTGTGAATTCCTCAATGTCAGGGACTGTTCTTCACCTCTCTTTGTTTCCCAAGTGCTCGGCATGGTGCCTGGCCTATAGTAGGCATTTGGTAAATGCTTATTGTCTATCTATATGATTGGCATCCTGCCTGTTGCTTCTCCCTTCATTGTTGGGCCACATTTACTAAGCTGACAGTGCTTCCTTTAACCAGGTTACAAGCTTAGGCCCATCCTGGCTGAGTTCCCCTTCAACCAGCCCCACTCACTACCTATATTTAAAGACTCCCCCTCCTCATACCCCATCACCTGCCAAATCCTGACCACAAATCGTCACAGAATTTGGGGCTAGAAGAAGCCTTAAGACAAAAGTGCGGGCCATAACTACAAGACAATAGCAAGCCTGATTCCTGGACTGCTGTGAGTATAGGAACATCTGAAGTCAGACGATCCATACCATTCTCTGGCCCTGCAGCTTCTGCAAAAATGAATCTCCCAGGGGCTCAGGCTAATCAAGGCTACATTCCCTTAGACAAGTGGGTTGGCTCACCCACCTCCAAGAAGACATCAGATACATCATGTGACAACATCACCAGGGTCCCAATTCGTATGTAGTTGGCACAATAAGAGAAGTAGATCAAGATGATGGCAGAAAAGTGGTGGATGATTTGTTGTTTGAAGTCCTGAGAAGAGAAGGGCAGCCATGAGGCCACAACCTTTGGACTCTCCTGTGGAATGAAGCTGGCTTTGCCTTTATTCAGGGTTGGTAGTCATTGACCAAGGCAGAGTTTCCCTACACTATATCACCCATGACTTCCATCCTCTGCAGGAAGGCCTGGGACTTTCAAGAGGAGGTCAAAGCAATGAGATAACTTCATCAGGTGAGATTTGGTGGGTCATGGGGAAGAGAGACAACATGATGGGAAAACTGGAGACCTGCTTGATTACACACCGGGGGGGAAGAGCTCCAGGGGGCATGCACTGGTTGTTGAATTGAACTGCATTGAATTGGCCTCTGAAGTAAAAACCTCCTTGTCTAATGTCCATAAGAGCACATTGATCTGAGGTTGACCAGGCCTGCTCTTGCTGCTTCAACGGGACAAGTCCCTTTTGATCACACCAAGGATTTCAGGAATAGTCCTACAGAGTCAAGTCTAATTTCACACTTTTTCTAGGAGGGCAGGGACTGGAAGCTGGCCTCCCTTTCTTTCCTCTTGGGACTTTTCCCCAAAGTCTGGACTCCCAATACACTCACTTTTCTTTTTACATCAAAGGATAAGGTGATCATCATGGAGAGGTAGACGCCAAACTCCAGAAGATACCACCAATATATGGCAGGCTTCAGAGCCTAAGGGTCAAAACAACCATCGAGTCATATTGTGGTACACAAAGAGTCAGTGATCAAGAGGAGACAAACTGTTTGGAGAGAAATTTCCTAGAACCAGAGACTATGCCTTATATCTTCTCTGCTCATGCATGGTTGGGCCTCTTGATCAAAGGACACTTGAAACAAGTCTTCCCCAACTCAGGTAACGTCTGACTCTTCACATTACTTTTTTCTGATGGGATTACTGGTAGACCAGGTCAATACTGCAAATAGATTTCCACTTACATTGTAGCCAAGCATTTAATAAAATTTCTCATGCCATTCTTGTAGGACAAATAGAGAAATAGTGACTAGTTGATAGTATGGTTATATAACTCTAGAGTTAATTGAATGGACCCAAATGTCAACTTGAAAGGAGGTCCCTAATGAAATGCCCAAAAGATCAGTGTTCATTCCTAGACCTTTCAGCATTTTTATCAATGACTTGTATAGAGGAGGGAGAAGAAACAAGTTTATCAAATTTGTACATGACACTAAGTTATGTGATATGGCCTCTGAGGGTCCCTTCCAACAGTGAGATGTTGGGATTTGGAATGAGCATCAGCTTCAGCAAGTAGGATCCATTTTAATGGGCATCTCTAATACCTACCCTTGTCCTGGGGCTGCTCACCTGTTTAGGGAATCCATTCCAGCATAGTTCAGACTTCCAAAACCATGGCTCCTGGAAGAAACAAGGGTCAAGTCCTTGGAAATTGCCCTCATCAAGGCCAGCCTCCACAGGCAGTGATTCTGCCCCATATATTGAATTGGAAAATTCCCCAGGAAACTCCAAACACTCAATAGGAAATATTTTAGCCACACTTTGTAGAAACACCCAACCATTTCCCTGGTTTCTTCTTTCTTTTTTCTTCTTAGGAGGCAGATCAGAGTCAAAGAGAGGTCAAGGAGAGGTTTGGCCCCAGACTCCTGCTCTGGTCCTTCCCTCTGAGTCATCTGCATCTGACCCTTCTCCGTGCTGGCTATGGCATAGCTTGAACTGGGGGTGGGGTTAAAGTGGTTTATCAAAGTGGGCACCAACCCAATAGGACATGACCAAATTGTACAGCCAAATGGGGCGCCTACCACTCTAGGCATACACAAACTGAGCACCCAACCAGTCTGCCTATCCCTACCTTCTTTCTTTACCCCAGCCTAGGTGTACTCTTCCCACAAATTCTTGCCTCAATGATCTGATGTCATCATATGCCATTGTCACATTTTACCCCAAATTTCTGATCCATCCTTCCTGTTTCTCAGATGGGCCAGTCCAGGTGCGGGGCCCCTGAAGTGGATGTAGTCATGTCTTCTCCCCACCCATAGAGACATTGAGGAAAGGTGTGGAATGAATAAGGGGAAAAAGTAAGTATGAATGACAGAGCTAAGGAGGGTCAAGGAGAGATAAAGACGACAGAGCTAAAAGAGGCCTGCTAAAAGGGCAGAGGAGGACAAAGGGGAGAGAGATGAAAAAGATGAGGGGACAGAGGGAAATAGAAAGGATAGCACGTGGAGAAGAAAGAGAGGGATGAATATGAGGATGGAAAAGAATGAAAAGAATGAGGATGAAGAAGACTAGAAGGCACAAGTGAATGAAGAGAATAGAACTGGACAGAAAAGATGAGAAAGATAAGAAGAAATGAGACAAACAGTTTGAGAACAGAGAGGAAGAATGAGAACAGAAATGAAGAAGACAAAAGGGTAGCAGTGGAAGGAGGAAAATGGAAGGGATAGAAAGAGGCAGAGGGTAATATAACATAGGGATAGATGGGATGGAAGGACAAATGGGGATGGATGGGATATATGGTAAGGATGGGATAGGACATACTCACATTGTAGACAATGAATAAGCCTCCAAAGAAAGAAGAAAAGTAAACTATAAATTTCCAACTGAAAATAAAAAAAAAGTTAGTGAGCAGAGGATGGAGATAATGGACAAGGGTACTGCCAGGGTGGGTGGATTGGCAGACAGATGAAATTGGCCTCTGCTTCCTTGGTTCAAACCTGGTTGCATAATCCCCTTATCCCAGAATGGACTATTTGGAGTCACTCTTCCACCAAGTTCACGCAGCTCACCAGGCTTCGGAGAATTTCTTGCTCAATAATGGTCGCTTCTGTTTTCTCCGACGTCGAAACCAGCGTTGAACTTCCCTCAAAGAGAGGCTGCATTGGGTGGCTAGGTGACTCAGCTGAGACTGGGGATAGCAGGAGGGTAAGGAGTTTGGAGGTGGAGGGCAGAAAGGGAAGACCACAACCCCAAAAACTATATGGAAAATGTCCTCTCTCCCAAGTTTGCCTAATCCCACCCTCCCCTCCCCCCCCAAAACCCAAAAAGTTCCTACTGCCTACTCTGCCTCAGAAATTTGAAAGAGTCACAGGGGATGGCAAGGAGAAGGTAGAGTTGCCTCCTCCTTTTCTCACAGAGCCAATAGTATATGTTCCTCTATTAAAACATTCATCACATCACACCTTGGTCCCTTCCAGGATTTGGTTGCCCTTAGGGAGGAGGGGGAAGAAGGGGCCCATGGTGAAGGAATCTTTGACAACACTGAACATGAGAAGGACCTCAGAATTCAATTCAATTCAATTCAACATCATTTTAAACACCTATTATATGCTAGATACTGTACAAAGACAAAAGTGAAACATTCCCTGTCCATAAAAGGAAGCCACCAGGTACTATAGTGTTTGGAGTTTTTGGACTTGGAGTCAGGAAGACCTGGGTTCCAATCCTACCTTGGACTCTTACTAGCTGTTTGACCCTTCTCTTTACTTCTCAGTTTTCTCATCTGTAAATAAAAGCATCTACCTCACAAGGTTGCTAAAATATCAGATGAGGTAACACATGTGAAGTACTTTGTTCACTTTTGAGAGCACTAAAAACAGGGAAATGAGGAAAAGGCTCTTAGGAGGTAGCACTTGAACTGTGGATCAAAGGAGTGGAGGTGAGGAGGGAGAACACTGAAGGTATGGGGCACAGCTTGAGCACAAAGTTCAGAGACGGAAACTTGTGTACCACAAACAAACAACAAGTGGGCAAGTATGACTGGAACATAGAGGGCATGACAGGGATTAATGGGTAATCTGCCTGGACAATAGGCTAAAAACAAGATGTAAAGGGCTTTAAACAGATGAGCTTATATTTTATCTTAGTGGTAATAGAGAGCTGTTGAAGTTTCTTCAGCAGGAGAGTAACAACACAGACCTGAATTTTAGAAATGGTCTATTTAGAGCTGTGTGGAGGATGGCATGGAGAAGAAAAAGACTGGGGGCCAAGTAGAAGGTTATCACAATAGTGGGGCCCACAGGACTTGAATTAGGGTGGTTGTGGTGTGAGTGGAAAGAAGGAGATGAAATGGGAGAAATATTAAGGTGGTTGAATCAACAAGATTTGGCCACTGATTGGATATGGTGAGAGGGAGAGGGAAGACTCGAAGAGGATTCCTAGGTTGCAAACCACATAGAAAGGTAGATCTGGGAATGACTTAAGACTACATCAGGTTCAGTTCCCTCATTTAACAGATAAGTAAACTGATGCTTAGAGAGGGGGAAATGACATGGCCAGGGTTACACAGCAAGGCATTAGCAGAGCTGAAACTAGAACCCAGTTTTCGTGAACTCCTAATCCATTCTGACGCTAGAGCTTGTAGATCTTGGTGCTCATAACAAGAATTGCTCTTCTGAGGAGAGATGGCAGCACAGGCAGCCTGTTCATGAGTCAGTCCTGGGCACATAGCCCACTCTATCTCCTCTGCTTCCTACTAATAAATAGCAAGTATTTCTGTGATTAAGGGGATTGGGGCTTAAACCACTGGGCTCTTGAATAGTATTGTAATTAGGCTCCTACTCACCTCTTTTGGATTCTGACTCTGGGTCTGGAAAAAGGACTCTAGAATGGGGTTGTGAGAAGCCTTGATCCTGTGGCCATCTTGCACACCCATGAGTCTGCTCAGGGGCAACCCAACAGCCCTAGGAGAGAAGATTGGAAGAGGTGAAAACCTAGGAGTCCCTTCTATCCCTGAAAATCGGAACCTTTGGGAGTTCTTTATGTAGCAAGGTCCATCTCATGGAGCATGCCAAAAAATATCATTCCTGGTTCCAAGTGTAGAAGCATTGGAGGACCTGCTTTCAGCCACTGCTGAGTGCCATTGTGATATGATAGAATTTCCTTATTGACTGTGGAGCCATAAGAGCTGTTGACTCATTGAACGTAAGAAAGGAAAAAAAAAAGACAATGACTACTCTCTCAGCGTCTCTTTTCTTTTCTGACCTACTGTAGTTTACATGTGCCTAAGTAAGTGAACTGACATATTAACAATTATTAACTAAACTAATCCACAACAAGGACAAATGACTTAAAAAGATTTCTACAGAGAAGAAACTACAGGGAATATCCATATCATCAAAATGGTGACACCCAAAGGCTCAAAGAAAAATGTGAATTGGTCTCAGGTCCAAAAAGAACTCATGGAAGAGCTCAAAATTTAAAAAAAAAAATCAAAGACGAGAGGTAGAGGAAAAATTGGGAAAAGAAATAAGAGTGATGTAAGAAGAACACAACTCCTTAAAAAGTAGAATTGGCTAAATGGAAAAGGAGGTACAAACTCACTGAATAAAATAATTCCTTAAAAATTAGAATTGGACAAGTGGAAGCCTAAAGACATCAAGAAACAATAAAACAAAATACAAGGAATGAAAAAGTAGAAGAAAATGTGAAATATCTCATTGGAAAAACAATTGACCTGGAAAATAGATTGAGGAGAAATAATTTAAAAATTATTGGACTACATGAAAGCTATGATAAACAAAAAGAGCTTAGACAAAATATTCCAAGAAATTATTAAAGAAAACTGCTCTAATATCTTAGAAACAGAGGTTAAAATAGAAATCAATTGCCTCCTGAAAGAGATCACCAAATGAAAATTCTCGGGAATATTATAGCCAAATCCCAGGTCTCCCAGGTCAAGAAGAAAATATTGAGAGCAGTCAGAAAGAAGCAATTCAAATATCATAGAGCCATAGTCAGGATAACACAAGATTTAGCAGCTTCTACATTAAAGGACTTCAGGGCTAGGAGTATGATATTCTGGAGGGCAAGGGAGCTAGGATAACAGCCAAGAATCACCAACTTAGCAAAACAGATAAACTTCAGGGGGGAAAAACTGACATTTAATGAAGAAGAGGACTTTGAAGTACTCCTGATGAAAACACCAGAGCTGAATACAAATTTTGACTTCCAAATATAAGACTCAAGAGAAGCATAAGAAGGTAAACATGAAAGAGTAATGATAAGGATCTCAATAAAATTGAACTGTTTATTTTCTTATATGGGAATATGATACATATAACTCCCAAGAACTTTGTCATTATTAGGGCCTTTACCTAGACAGAGGGCATGAATGTGAGTTGATTATATTGGAATGATCTCAAAAAAAAATGAAGGGGCAAAGAAGAGGGATGCACTAGGTGAAGAAGGAAAGGAGAGGCAGAATGGGGAAAGTTTTCTCACATAAAAGAGGTACACAAGGAGAATGTTTACAGTGAAGGAAAAAATAGGGAGGGGTGGGCAATGCTTGAACCCCACTCTTATTGGATTTAGTTCAAAGAGGGAAAAATACATGTGTATAGAAATATAAGTTATTCAATAGGGAAATAGGAGGGGAAGAAGATAAAAGGGAGAGATTAAGGGAGGCATTGGTTAGAAACAAAATTGACTATTGAGGAGGTACAAGATAAAAAGTTAGAGAGAAGAAAATGGGATGAAGGGAAATACACAGTTAACAATTATAACTGTGAATGTGAATGGGATGAGCTCATCCATGATATGGAAGGAGGTAGCAGGATGGATTAGAAACCAGGTCCAACAAAATGTTGTTTATGAGAGACACACTTGTAACAGAAAGACATACATAGAATTAAAATAAAGAGCTGGAATACAATAGAATATTCTTTAGCTAAACTGAAAAAAGGCAAGGATAACAATCATGATCTCAGACAATGCAAAAGCAAAAATAGACCTTATTAAAAGGGATAATCATGGAAACTATATTTTGCTAAAAAAGTTCCATAGACAATGAAGTAATATCACAAACTCTTACAGCAAATTTCTCTGATAAATGCTTAATTTCTCAGTTATATGCTGAATATAGAACTGAGTCAAATTTATAAAAATAAGAGTCATTCAGGGCAGGTAGGTGGCACAGTGGATAGAGCACTGGCCCTGCAGTTAGGAGGACCCGAGTTCAAATCTGGCCTCAGATCAGACACCTGACACCAGCTGTATGACCCTGGGTAAGTCACTTAACTCCAATTGCCTCATCAAAAGAAAAAAAAATAAGAGTCATTACCCAATTAATAAATGGTCATAGGATGTAAACAGACAGTTTTAAGGAGAAGAAATCAAAGCTCTCTATAGCCATATGAAAAAAAATACTTAAAATCACTGTTGAGTAGAAAATGTCAAATTATAACAACTCTGAGGTACTACCTCATAACTCTCAGAAATGACAAATGCTGGAAGATGAGAGAAAAATAGGTACACTATTGAATTGTTGATATATTAATGAATTGCTGGTGCAGTAGTGAACTGGTTTAACTATTCTGGTGAACAATTTGGAACTATGCCCTAAGGCCTATAAAATTGTGCATGCCCTTTGACACAGCAATACCACTACTTGGTCTGTATCCCAAAGAGATCAAAGAAAAAGGAAAGGGACCTCAATGTACAAAAGTATAGTATAGTATAGTATAGTATAGTATAGTATAGTATAGTATAGTATAGTATAGTATAGTATAGTATAGTA